GGACCAGACTGTAGCCTGAGCCGCGATCACAAACTCAGCCAGGAGAGCGAAGCAAACCAGCTGACGCATCAGGAGGAAAGAAAACAAGTCAAACAGTTAGAGGCTCTATGTGTTCACTGTATTTTAAACTTGAAAGGATCAAAAAAAAATATATATATATATATATATTTTCATTACATGTTTCCTGCTTCAGCACTATTAGTATTTGGGATTTCCACTGGGTCAAAAAATCTCTAATCATCAACCTACTTGAAATTCCCTTTCATTCAATTGTTAAAGGTTTAATTCTCCAATCGCAGAGGAATTTAGATGAATAGATACTTGATTCTTTAGAATTCAAAATGAATGGCTTCTAAAACATTTCAATCTTGGGGGTTATATTTTAAAAGAATAATTTAAATAAAGATATTTAGCTTGGGCTCGAGCTCCAAATTGAATATTTTGGATGCAGAATGTAAATACTCAAGTAGCTAATAGCTTGAGATGCATCATTATTATCAATTGATGGAGCTGTCATTATAAATATTGTGTACAAACTGTTTTAAGTCAGTCTTTGTTGCGAGCTCTCCGAAAGTCTTCTATTCTTTAAACTCATGATTTAATGAAACACAAATTACAGATTCAATACGTTATATTTGTGAGGAAACAGGTAAATCTTTTTCTGACCAGCAACGAATATCATTCTCCTGCAGCAGATTTCAGCTCCATTTGAAAAGAAAATTGTGGAATGTGTTTCATCTGAAGCCTGTTTACCTTTTATCAATGGAACAAAACATATAATTATGTTATTTGGTGACAAAAAGAGGAATGAATGCATGGAACTAAACCAGCAGTATTACTGCCTCACAACTTGTATAATGTGCAGCATTTTCATGATATTATAATTTGTCCTCAAAGGTTCCTTCAATACTTGTAATTTAAAATCACCACCAGTAGTGTCGAATTTCTGATTCTTTTAAAACCTTCTTCCCTATATTTTACACTGCTTCTGCACATGCACTGCAGTGCATTCAAGAGAGGGCAGTGTAACCACACATGCGGGGTGTGCTTGAGGCTTTTCTCCATGTCAGTATCCAGCTCTCACTTAAAAATAAACTTAAAAATAACATATTACTGTTCATTTCTATACGTCACATGGGTTGCATCTTTTTTTAGTTTCATCATTGAAAATCAGACTCTTTTTGGTATCGACGTATTTTTATTGTTTTCAACTGATGCTTGTTATGGCAAAATGTAAAGAGAGAAAAAATGAAATGTATTAGGATATAATTTCGGACGGAAACTCCCGGTGGTCAAGCTGTGAGGAAAGAGCTGTGCATGGTAATTGTGGCGACGCCCACTAACCACTGTGCCACGTGCATCAGCATACCGCACGTCCACATGTTGGAAAATTGCTCCATTGTCGATGTATTATTGTTTCAGTGGCTGCAGAGAGGTTGCTTTTCTCGGCCCTGGGTGGCGTCATTAACTCAGTCTGGAGTAACGCGTTTAAATCAGATGGCATTGTACAGGTGTAACTACTGCTGTTCCTGCATGTGATTAATGTCCCCCTTTTTGATTAATTTCCTACGTCGGCTGTGGAGCCCTCGCATTTGTGATTAATGAACCTTCAGCCTCGTGTAGTATAATGGCGGTTTGGTACATATTTTACTCCTGCATATGGGCTCTCTCTACGGCTGGTGCCAGCGTGTAGCATCCTTCAAATCCCAGTTCAGTCAATGGTCACAGCCAAAGTTCAGACTAAAGGAAATCCATATCTCAAAAGCAAGAGTCTGTCTCTCTGTGAAGTCATGATAGGGGCGGTACATTGGGCTTTCCTGCTGTAGTTAATCTTGGAGACAAAGACACAGAAACTGGCACAGCCCTTGTATGTAAAGTTAGTTGCAGGCTGATACATAAATCCACATACGCTGACGCAGCTCCGGTCCCATGGGTCTAAGCTTCTATCTCTGCCCGAGGGCTGCAAAGGGTGTGACCAAGATGCTGCAAACCACGGCCTCACACTCTTACCCTGTTCACAAAGGTGAAGGGCGAAAACACGCGTACAGCTTGGTTATACTCACTCACTGTTGACCTTTTGGCGTCTAAGTCAATATTCTGTCCTCTCTCCCTCTCGGGCTTCATCTCTCTACTCCCCACCTTCCCCACCTTCCCCACCTTCTCCATCTCCCCCGGTGGTGACAGAGTCGGAGGACGGCGGTCTGTAATTAGCTGGTTGACCCCGGGGTTGGGTTGTGTGACCCCGGCAGCCGCGAAGCGCGGATCCAGCCTGATCAGATGAGTAGTTCTGAGGGATCAGTGGTTGAAAGACAGCCGCCTCCTCGCCTGAGCCAAGCCAGTCACATAAGCCAGCGCGGCCGACACGGGCACAGTTACAGGAGCCCAGCTGCCGAGCCCGAACGGAGTCACAAACACCTGTCCGGGTAGAGCACAGACGCACAGACGCGTGCTTTTCAACATCCACGGACACCAACGTGTGCTGCTAAACACGCTACCTGCCACCACTGAGGGAAAGGAGCAGGAGTGGGGGGGGGGCTGAGGCGTAACCCGACCCGGGGAGGGGGAAGTGGAGGGGAGCAAGGTGAGCAAGGGGATGGGAGGGGGAGGGAGGAGCAGTGCTGGCCCTTGGTCAAGTGCCTTGTATTCCACAAACAGGCCGCATCCAGTTACACTCTACCTGAGACGCCGAGCCTGAGGAGAGGATTCAAAGAAAAGCATGTGGACCTCCCGCACTTCGGTGCACCTTCTTGGGCTAATTTCTCTCTGAAAAATGGTCGACACACTTCTCCTTTCTTCTGGCTCAGTTTATGAGCATCTATGAGGGTGGTGGTGTCTTTTTTTCAGCTGGCAGAAGTATTAAACGCACTGCGTTGCCATCGCAGAGGTGCCTGCGAGCAGCTTGACAACTGGTGGACGTGGCTCGGCCGTCTTTGGTGCCTTCCGCCGCTCTCTACCCTGATTAAAAGCAGCGCGACGGGAGAAAGGGAGGGGAGTGTGTCATCAAGGACACGCTGGGAGACGTTCACCTGAGAAGCCACAGTCACCGACCGCCGCGGGCACATCCGTGTGACCTGAACGCCGGCGCCGTTTGAAGTCGTGACAGAGAGACAAAAGTGTCTGCATCTGAAACTTCTGCCTTTAGGGGTAAACGAAGGGATGGGAAGAAATAGAGAGGCAGGCACACGGCACATAAAAGGAGCGCGAGGAGATGTACATAGGTGGAGAGACGGGGTAGAAAGACGGAGAGAGAGGAGCGAGCGGAAAAAGTTAAGGCCTCGTCTTTGAGATGCTTATTGTTTAGTGTCACTCCATTCATTTGTACCTACTTACCTCTCTCAAGTCATCATGTTTACACAGGCTGGTGCTGCAATTCCCCTGTAGTGAAAACCCTCTGCTGTTTTTCCTCCTTCTTTCCCCTCTTCCTTTGTCTTTTTCCTGCTGGTTGGGAATCGGCGAGGCTTGCTCATCGGCGCCAGCCTCTGTTAATCCCCTCCCAAAGCACCTTAGCAACGCTAGGAATTTAGAGATGCTAAAAAAAAATTAAAAAAAACACCACGACAACGACAACAACTGTTCTTAACACTGGGCTCGTATTGGCAAGAGTGGCCACGTCTTGAGATGTGTGTGTGTGTGTTTTCCATAAGTAGTTCAGAACAGTCTGGAAGGGTGTGATAACCAGGGATCTCTCAAGAGTGTGTGCGCCGCGCGCGGGCATCTGAATTTGTGTGTGTGTGTGTGTGTGTGTGTGTGTGTGTGTGTGTGTGTGCGTGCGTGTGTGTGTACACAGAGTGGGAGAGTAGGTTTTTGTGATATAGTCCCTATAACACCAGCAACCTGGTAATCACTGCATGTAGTCACCTGAGATGCTCATTATCTAGTCCCTGTGTGCACGTTATGTCTGTGTTTGTTTACCAAGTGTCTGCGCACACACACACACACACACACACACACACAGATGCAACATGCTGCTCAACCCTTCTCTCACCAGTCTTTGTCTTTGTGCGGTTGTCTGCAAACACCTGACGAGTGACCGAGGCCGAGAGGCTGAGCGGGTGAAAAAGTGGAGAAAACCGCTCGTGTTATTGTGGGCCTGACTTAAGCCAAATGCCTCGATGGAAGGAACAAAATACCAATAAAGTGAGGTTACAGCGCTCACCGCAATTATGCCGTTAGTTATTTTTCAATTGTTGGCTTTTGTGGTTTTCATAAATCAACACATATCAACCCCCACCTCTTTCTTTCTCTCGATCTAAAATCAATTACTCAGGGGTGGTGCTAAATTAATTGAGGGCACATTGAAGCCTTGAAATTAACACATAGTTTAAATGTTTAAACTTTTCTAAAACTTCTCACTTTTTGAAGCATTCATTTATCTCCCAAATTGAATGTTGAAAAAAAAAGACGAGAAGCACAATATTTCATTCTTAGGCATAAGACGCACGATTTTATTTAATATGTATTCTTTTTTTTCTCAGCTGAAGCTAACACAACAGTAAAACAGATTGCACAATAAATGTGTTCAGTAAAAGACGGAGATAGTTAATCATGAAGAAAACTAGTGGTTTCCTTTTCTGAAAATGTAAAAGAGAAATATTCATATGTCACTTCATGCACTGGAGAGATCTTAATGGACACCTACGATGATATGTAAACAATAAATGTTTATTTCTACCCTGCTTCTGTTGATAAAAGAAGTTTGTTTTCAAATGAAAGCGACGTGTTTCATACTGACTGCTGCTTTTCTCTGCCGATGCTCCGGTGCCAGATCAGTGCACGTTTCTTATTGGGCCGGTCACACCACACATTAAATACACTCAAGGCTGTAGAAATATTCATTACAGGCATTTTGACGGATTTCACAAATCTGAAAATGCAGCGGGTTGTTGGAAAACATGCCAGCTGAGGGACTAAGAGTATTAAGGGAGTGAAGCTGGCTCCAGTAGAAGGGAACGGGACGCGGGAGCCGTTTATTGTTTTTGCTGGGATGGAAAATGTGTTTATTTTTTTGGTGATGATTTTCCCGGCTGACCCAACACAACATAAAGATAAAATAAAATCAAAGTTGCGTAATTAAGGGGGTTAAGGGGAGTTATTATCACATGGGGAAGAGTGATTGAAGGGAATTTGTGGCTCTGACTGTCGCTGACATTTTCCTAAAGGTCTGTTCGCCCGCAGCACCTATGTTCTAGTGCTCGTCATAATGATGGCCTGCCAGCAGAGGAGACGAGGTGCTATCTGTTAATCACAGGCCCCTCAGTGATCCATGTCCACTGGTGATAGCCATGATGGACAGTTTGCTGGAAGAGAGAGACAGACAGAGAAAGAGGGAGATGGACAAAGAGAGGATATTGATTGGTAAGGATATCAAATGTCAAAAGTCAATAAATAAAGACACAGCAGAAAACAGTGACCTGCATTTTCACATGTCGGGTTTAAGATATTAAACCCGACATGTGAAACGCAACATATCTACCGAACGCTTAATAGCCAGCAGGTTATCAATTAAAATACAAATTACTCAAATTTATCCCAGACTTTAAACAGTCTGATTGCTGACAATCATCTAATGGCTCTGGAAACAAATTGAGTAGGATTAGAATCATTAAAAACAATTTATCTGCTCCTCTTGGACATATTGCTGTGACATACACATCTTTCACTTGTTCCAATCTGACCTATCCAAACCACACAGTTTGTTGATCACTTGACCCCAGAGAGTTTAAAGGTCAGCCGGTTCAAAGAGCTATCAGCGCGCGGCAGGCACCGTAAACCTGCTGTTTCTTATTTGAACCATTTGACCCCACATTAACCTCATTCTCCACTGCACTGAGAATTATCACCTGCCACAGAGGAGCAGAAATCCTTTACAGCATCTGGTGGGTACACATGTGTGCGGGCCAGCGATAGAGAAACACTGCAGGTGTGTGTACGCCACACACTGCATGGCCACCTCATGTTGGCGCGTGAGCTAAAGGGAGGAGGGCAGGAAAAGTCCCCTGAGAACCATGAATGACATTCACAAAATCTTATTGAAATCATTGGTCTCATTGGCAGTAACACTGATATTTCTATGACTATTTTGTGTTGCTTGTGGCTACATTTCCGATGTTCATAAATGATTTCTTAATTGTGGAAACAGGCTGTGGACACTAGCAATAAGGTAAAAGTTTGGGGACCAGGAATGAATCGATTTTGAGATATTTCCCAATGGACCGGAGACGTGGACACAAAGTGACGTTATTGGCGTTGGTATTGGTGTTAAAAACAGCGAGCCAACTAAAACTTTGTAGTCCTGTGACTCCTGTGACATGTTGTCCAGTATGTTGACAGGAATTCCTTCCCGCCAGAAGCACATGAACATGCAACATCTTATAAAAAGGTTGTCTAAAAGGAAGCTGCACTTCACTGCTGCTCTTGACTCTAAGAAACAGATAAGATCAATTATTTGCTACCAGACAACTAAACCTCTGGTGAATCAATTCTGGCGGTTTATTGTGCATAATTCAGAGCCTGACCTGAAAAAGGCACGCGGAGACCCTGAGGAAATGGAGTTTAACTTAAAAAGGTTCATGTTGCTTTAGCTAATTCTTCTTTTGAATGCATAGATGATTGTGTCTGATGATAGTTAAAGTATGACCTCTTTGTTCATCTGCCTTTTCAGGTCACATATATATATTCTTTCATGTCATCCCATCACGGCAGTCTGCACGAGAGTGTAAAGCTTCCCCTCTGACACGTCTCTGCATGTGTCTGGTGCGGCTCATTCTCATGCGATTCATTGCATCTTGTCTGTGATCCTCTGGAGAGGAGTGGGAGGTAGTTGGAGGCACTGATTACTCGTCCTTAGGGTCTTACCTGATTGTCTGGCTGCTATGTTTCTCGCCCTGTTGGACGCATTTTTTTTTTTTTAGAAACGTTGCTGCAGCCTGAGATCTCAGCAAAGTTAATACTGCGGACCTGACAAGTGGAGAAGCGAAAAAGCCAATTCCTATCAAACGTCAGTTATCCAAGCAAACCTGCTGTGGGCCGGCTGTGCTGTACTTTGCGGTATAAAAAGCTGGATAGAGTGGAATATAAATGGATGAATGTGAATAATTGCTCCGCTACTTAGCGAGTAGCGGAGGGAATCACAGAGCGAATGGGCGTCTTTGCAAAAGCGACGGATGTAATGACAGGACTAAACGCTCGCACACTGGACGCCGACAATAATGTGCTACACATTATGCTGACACGGGTACGTCCACAACTTACGCTAAGAACCTAGGCTAGGTGTTTGCACCTGTCAGCGGTGCACGTAGAAACGGCCGCTGCACTGAACATTCAAATATTGCAGCTTACTTATGCTTACGGTCCTGAGTCAGGTGGTGGTGTCACGTCATACGTGTAAAAGTCTTTCTTATGGGTGGATCAGGCAGAAATAGTCGCAGTCACCACAACCTGGTATTCATTGAATTTGTGTATCTGTCACATGTCAAGTGAACTATTTTGACACTAGACAGCGTCGGCTTTTTGTTCAGAATAGCATTTACCGTAGTAACTTTCACCACTGCTCATTTTAGAATGGACGCCAAAAGAAAATGTGTTCTTCCTTTAATTAAATAGGCATGTGGGTGAAGGTTCTCTCCCTCGCTGGCAAAAACTGGCAGCCAGAAACAAACTGCCATGATCCATTGTACCAACAAAGAACAGTGCGCTAGCTCAAAAGTTGTCTACTTACAATCCAATTATTATCAACAGCGTGGCTGGAAGTTAAGTTTATTGTTTGTTGGCACAAAAAACCCTGTTAGGGGGTCAGGAAAGCCTCGGAGTTTGGTGAAAGCTTTTGGTGGGTTTCCCACTACCAGTAACCGCAAATCATTCAATTTAATCGTATAAATACGACAAATTGTGAAGCGTTTACATTTGAAAGCACAGAGATGGCATATTGAAGGTACAAATCAGTAGGAGGGGTTTTTAATTTTGAGTTCTTGAACGTTCATAACACATATATATATATATATATATATATATAGACGAATTATGAGTACATTCATTTAGATTTTCACTGCGCTTTTAAGTACAGATCAGTAGTCGTATGGTCTTGTAATCATGGTTCGGTAGTGCTTTAATGGGGGACTTTGGACTCCTGGCTTTAGCCCTGATTGAGAGTCTCCTCATCCTTTCACTCACTGGTGGACAGTGAGGCCACTAAGTGTGCACCCTAACCCCCCAAACTTCCATCTTTTACCAACGTATTCTTTCCTTTGTTGTCGTTCCCCCCAAAACTCCCCGGTTCCCGTGGAGTGGCTGCATGGTTTTGTGTGGCCCCCCGACCCCCCCCCCCCATGCACTACCCCGTTTTTATCACTTCTCTGACGGGTTACCCCGGTCCCCCTCGCACCTGCACCGCTCCCAGGTCCCTACAGGAATGCGCTGGGGCTCGTCATCTTCTTGTGGAGGCCATTGAGTCGTACGGATGACTGAAACTTCTCAACCTCACAGCGCGCTGGTCGCTGAATGGCGCGCAGCGTGGGGCGGCTCTCCAAACCACGGCCGCTGCCAAATTCCTACAGTGGCGCTCCACAATCACTCTCACACAGGCCCAGATACAGGCTGCCGCCAGGCGGGGGAGGGGGGCGTGGCGGTGTGTGTGTGTGTGTGTGTGTGTGGCGCGCGCACGGACACTTTTGGCTTGACATTGCCAATCTGAGCATGCAAACATTTCTTGGGGTTTTCTCCCTTTTCGATTAGTCCATAGAAGGAAGGAGTGATTTCTAGGGCACCAATACTAATAATTGTAATTTCCATTCGCATATCTCACCTCTTGACAAAAAGTCCCAGTGCTGATGTTATTCCAGCAACGGAGAAATCTGAAAAATACAACAACAACAAAATAGAAAAATTAAAGCTGCGAGCAGCGATGGACGGGTCCAGGCGTAGGAATGCTTGACAAAAGTTTCAAAATAAAGCAATTTCTCATAACTTTCAGGACATTTGTGCTGCGTTTCGGTGAATTAGGTCCGTGTGGCGCCATATAGCGTGGAAGCTGTGGGTAGATAGAGCAGCACTGCAGGATTAAGAGGCAGCAAGATTGTTAAACATGTCAACGTGTAATTGCACGATAAGGCCCTTCCGAGGAATTCATTGGCCCAGTTGCTTTCTCTATTCCGCGCTAATCTCGCCCGGCACATTCGCTCTGTGCAATCTGTCTCCATAATCTTCTGTGACAGAGCGGGCGACGAGTGCAGCCTGTTTGGTAATTTTTTTTTTTTTAGGAAAAGGGGGAGGAGGAGCGCACGGAGAAAATATGCAGAGGCGTGATAAAGTGACGCTAATTATCCCCATTTAGGACAGGGAGTGCAAGGGATCGGGGCTTTACGAGCAACCGAGTGTGCGCTGGTGCTGATGGCCTCCTAGCACGGAATATATCAGTGGCTACAAGATAAGAGCATCGCGCAGTGGAGAGATTTATTGGTCGGTCAGCTAAACACACGCACACGCGTGCATGCACAGAAACGCGAAGACACACACACACACACACACACACACACACACACACACACACACACACACACACACACACACGCACCGCTGCTTCATAGCCGTCATGCGTTGCACCCTACACTTACCCCTCTTCCAACCTTAAGGTGTAATTTATTCGGGTTAAATTTGCCAGAACGCTCCTCTTTTAGCCCGGCGATGCGCCGTGACGCGCTCCGCCTCCCCGTGCATTCAGTGTTAATCCGCATCTCTTCACATCAACAGATAAAATTGAAACAGGGGAAGAAAAAAAACGCGCGAGGAAGCCATCCCGTGCCGTGCGGCGCACGCACAGCGCGGAGACGCGTCTTCTGTGGGGTTTCGGAAAGGAAAATATATTTCGAGACATTGTTCCTCTGATTTCTTTCAATAGATTGTTGCTCAGCCAAACGTTACACGCTTTACTTTGAGGACTAACAGGTTTAATTGACATGCCATGCAAGTCTTCATCAGTGTGAAATGGGCCCTTTAACTATGTATTTGAGATTAGTTGATTCTAAAATGCCTAAGTAGGCATATTATTGCCTCATTTGCATGTGTATGGCTATTAGTCTGTATCTACACATGGGACCTACAGGCAATACAAAAAATATACACGTCAAACCCAGCTGATGACTGTCAAAGGAAATGACGTAATTTCTTCGACCAATTTTCTTTTTTTTTAAGATCAAATGTCTGAATTAGATTTTATCCCTTTTCCCCTTTTCAAACTTTGTAAATGTACAAACTGGTCATCCCAAATCAAACATCTAAAACTCTGAAATTCCAACATCAGTAACCCAATTATCACGCGCGTGTTGCCAATATGAAGTTTAAGTCCAGTCTGCGCACATTTGGGCCCCACCGTCTTTGTTGTGCACGTCCTTGAAGGCGTTAATTGCGGCCTTAGATGCGCAGATCCCCAACGCACGTAGGGGATCCGCGCATCTCATCTGGAGTTATTTTATATGTGGAATGTAAGATATTCGACTTCCTAACGACGGACGGTTAATTCCCCAAGTTGATAAGGATAAATGGCACGATAATAGTTATTACATATCTTTTTGAGAACTGTTAACTGTTTGATAACAAAGTAAAAAAATTTAGAAATACAGCTCAACATATGAAGACTTTGTTGTACGTAGTTTTTTTTAAATTCTCACCATGGAGATATTATTAAATCACTTTTGCTTTATATTTATATTTAACATAAGTATATACCCTTTAACTTAAACTGAATTCTAAAAGACAGAAACAGTTGATCATTCTAAAAAACGAAATGTCTATTTAGACATAAAGCAGGTAAAAGGAAAGATGATTGAAATTGTACTCTAGTGTTCATTATATATTACTGTTATTTAATTTGTCTGCCTGGTATTACTTTACGTCAAGTGTTCAAGCAGGTAGTGAAATTAAATTAATTTATTCTCAGTGCATCAAAAGGATATTTGAATCTATTTCAATGAATTTTACGTATTCATAAGTAATAAAGTATTCTATTCAGATAAACCTCTAAAAAGTCAATATGAAATCATGTGTTGTATTGCGTTTTTTGAAGAACGTATTAACAATCTTACAATCTTATGTGACAATAAAAAGTCGGACAAAACCTTTCAATTCATTATAGAGAAATAAGACATTTAGAATGAATAAAAACATAATTCAGCTTACATTTTCTATCAATACTCTCAAAGTTTCTAAGCAGTTACAGGTGGGAATTAGGTTTGTTATTAGCATATTTTAAGTGTTACCTCTTATTTCCATGAATAATGTTAGTAAAATATACAGGTGGTTCGTTGTGAGGCATTTAAGCAATCAGATTCGATTATAATTTAAAATACAATATGTAAATTGAATATATTTTGATCCTAATCTGGCACTAAACAAAACTTTGTCTATGAATATATTTCTCATTACTCCCATTGTTGAGTCCGTGAAACATCACCATCCAATCAAAATCAGGATGTTTGTCGGAGGCCTAGAGCCTGTATCCGTTTTACGCACGATTTTACGACTATGCTCGTGGGATCATGTGGTGTCACAATTTAAACAGGTGGCTATTTTTCTCGAGAAGAGGCTGGATGATATTCTTGTGTCCTAACACGTGAAAACAATCCTGTAAGAACATTGTGAAAATAATCAATCTAAGACGGTAGTCTTAAGAATCAAAAGCAACATCTGGTGAAATTTATTCAATTCTTCGTCATTGCAATAGCAGGGCTTTTCACTTGCAGAAAAGCACTTAAATTACAACAGCAGTTGCCCGTCATCCTTTGAAATATTAAAATTATTCACAATTTACAATAATTAGTGTTACAATAAAAAGAGATGGTTTCCAAGAATTAAGACACAGGCGTCAGCAAATGAACACAAATGTTTAAAGAATGTGACTTTCCCCATATCTTTTGAAGCACTTTCTTAATATTATGACACGTTATCTCATTTTCAATAACTTACAAGAACCCCCCCCCCCAAAAAAGTATGAGACAATTGAACCAAATACCCCCCATGTGAACCTGGCGTAACCTTCAACTAAGATTGTGAAGTAATGGACAAAAGTATGGTAGCACAATCACCAATATCTCAGCATCATATTCGTTATATAATCCCACCGGTGGCAATACAAAAAAAAAAGCCGAGATGAATTTGCTATTTACCCTTCATTTACAAGACCATAGACATTCTGTACAAAATGCAGGTAGTTTTAGGGACCGGGGTTAATTAGAAAAGAGGTAAATATTTGGTTATGTGTTCGTTTGGAGTTTTCAATTATTCTGTGAGTTCTAAATGTGTGTTAGAGGGACCGTCCCGTTCACTCCAGCCGTGGCGCTCTGGTAATGCTGCGGTAAGGCATGGAGTCTACTTTGCATTGACGGGTCGCCCGGCTCTCCGGTCGGTAAATACATGCTTATCATCTCTCTCAAGTCTCCGGGGCAAGGACCCCGTGAGTGTGTGCTGCTGACGGGAGGGCTTACACTCGGCTCCGACTTCACCAGCGACCCTAACGTCCCCATGGTGGCTGAGGAAGTGACGCCGGAGCCCTGGTGCTGTGTGTAGGTGATCCCGCCGTAGCCGGATGGAGAAGCGTTCATGTAGCTCTGAGAGTTTGAGATGGGGCTGTACTGCAGCGCTGTCATGTCGTAGCGGTGCATGGGCTGCGGGTTGTGTGAGTGATGGTGGTGCGAGTGGTGGTGGTGGTGCGCTCCGCTCCCCGGGTGCTGGCTGTAGGCGAGCTGCGCCTCCTGCATCATCGCCGCGGCAGCCGCAGCGGCGGCCACCTGCCCCGAGTACGCGCCGTTCGCCCAGCCGTTCATGTGCGCGTAGCCGGAGCCGGCGGAGCCTCCGTGACCCCCGGGGCTCTCCAACCTCTGCCCAACTCCGGATGAACTCATTCCGACTCCTAAACCAACTCCACCACCTCCGCCGGGCCCGGAAAGCAGTCCACCGGCAAGGGAATATTTGTCCTTTTTCAGCAGCGTCTTGGTCTTCCTTCTTGGCCGGTACTTGTAATCCGGATGCTCCTTCATGTGCATGGCTCGCAACCGTTTCGCCTCGTCGATGAAGGGGCGCTTTTCAGCCTCGGACATCACCTTCCACTCGGCGCCCAGCCGTTTGCTGATCTCAGAGTTGTGCATTTTGGGGTTCTCTTGGGCCATCTTCCTCCGCTGCCCACGGGACCACACCATGAACGCGTTCATCGGTCTCTTCACCCGCTCCTGATTCGCTTTGGACCCGCTATTTGGCCCCGTTTGCCCCGTGGCCGTGTTCGTTTGGGGGCCAGGGGAATGCAGGTCAGTTTCCATCATCATGCTATACATTCACCTGGTTTTAAACTTCGCCACCAACAGAGAAAAAGTCTATTTCAAGATAGGTGCGCACGAGATCGGGCGCGCACAGGCTGGGTACAGAATTGATATTCTTAGCCCCAAAGATTTAAACACGAGACGAAAAATATTCCGAAAAGGGATATAAAATGTTCTCCAACCAGTATTTCGCACTGTCGTCGTCTGGGTTGGTTCACATCCACTGTGATAGAATGCGCATTGGAGCCACTTTCCCTGTCGGAGTTAAGAAGTTGGTTAAAGCGGCGGCCATATGATGCGCACTGACAGCGGTTAAATGAGCCACAAGCGGCCAATGGGGCTCTAACAGCAGAGTGATTTGCATGGCGTTTGGTCAGGTGACTAGAGGACCATAGAGGGAGAACACACCGGAGGAGGAGGAGGAGGAGGAGGAGAAGGAGGAGGAGGCAGAAATGAGGGCCAATCCCACAAATAGCACAAGGCATTTGAAATTTCCAAACGCTCTCAGAGACATCAGCTAAACAAAAATAACTACGATTTGTTAGCAGGGATGTGGAGGGGTAGAGTCTTTGAGCACCATGAGTCAAACATCTAAATATATTTCAAAGAACCGCTATGGCTTCAATAGACATGGAGACGCAGCCTGCAGCAGCTTTTACGATCAGCGTCAACAAAAGTTGGGGTAAAGTTTCTTTATTCGTGCTTAAACTTCAGAACATTTCCTTCCAAGTTTAGTCTCACATCCATCGTGCGTCCTAGAAGCCCAAACCCAACTCCCAACTTGTACACTGGAACTACAGACTACCCAAACCCAACAATATCAGACCACTTCACGCTCAACCGACAACTCAAAATCCATTCTTTCAGAAGACCATGTAGTAAAAGTAGGTGTCAGGATGCCATGACAAAAATTTGGTTAAAAAAAAAGAAAAGAAAACGACGGTCCAAGTCCCTGAGCAAGTGATGACGTGGAATTTGCCGGGTCAAAGCGTGGACATCGCCGTCTGCTGGCGGCGGGGGACGATTCCTGCCTGAGCCTGCGTGCGCCCGCAGCTAAACCAGACCGCGTGGAAGCCGCTCCGATGCCGCCTTCGGCAGTGGACTTTTAACGTGGCCGGTGCACTTTGCTTCCGTCATTTTTACACCCGAGCAACCCGATGGAAACCGTGCGAGGGAGCCGATTGCACGCGTCCTCCAGCCCTCGCATATATAATCCGGATTCCGCACAGCTGACCTCCCATGAAAAGCCCAATCAACCTCTAATTGAAAGGGAAAACGAAATACTACATCCCGCGGCGAGACTAACGATTTAATCATTCTATCATCCTTCGCCGTTTTTTTTTATTTTAATTGGGGCTTAGCGTGTTATGGCTCTCCGTTTAGGGCCCGAGGGAGCGGGATCACTTGGACAGATCCATGCGTCTTAACGGGACATCACAGAGGTCAATAAACGTGTCGTCTGGGCCACGAGGCTTAAGGCAACGGAAGAACACGATGTAATGACACCTGGACAGCTACACGGCGGTAAGGGCCGGGGAAGCTGTCCCACCAGAAAACAAATCAACAAACTAAATAAACAATGAACTATGACGCACGTTGGCCTCTTTTAATAAAGACATTTGTGTCACTTGACAAATCCGAAAAAGGAGCAGCTTATTTAGCTAAAATCAAAAAAGTTAAGGAGTAATGTTGTAAATAAATAAATGGGATTGTGGCACATTTACTATTGGAAGTTTTAAGACTTTTAATGGGTTGAGCCGTATTTCCGGATGTCTGTTTAACCCAAGGGTGTTGTTAAATAAACACATGATTGAATAAAAAATAATAATGTAACGGCGTAAATTAAAGTATCGATCGAAAAGTTAGTCGAATAATATATATGTTATTGTTATTATGTGTTTCTGTCATTGTGGAGGGGATTTCGGATTGTAGAGGATTAGTCTTTACAATGACACTGGGACACCGGGGCCCCCGTTTACTCTCTCTGTCATCCCCCCATCAGTTACTCCTCTTTTAACCAACCTCTTTTCAAACCTCCTCGCTCCTTTGTGTGCTGCCTCTGCAACAGGATGTGCGCGCTGCGATGATGGTGCGCGGCAGGGGCCAAGGGTCAAAGCAGTTATCAATCCGCCTCGTAAATGAATAAATAAATAACAGACGGATTACGAATAAATACAACTCCAGTCGCCCAAATTACGCACGGCGTCTAGTTGGTGTTTGTGTCTTTAACTCACAAATCCCTCGCTTATAATACTCGAATACTAAAAAACTTTTTTTTTTAATTAATAATAATTAAAATAATCTATTTATTTGCGTTACCCTCTATCCGCCAGCCAACGTGAAAATGGTTAATGGCCTTTGGGAGGATCTTTTATTTTTTAATCACCTGCTGACGGACGCGGGAATCACAGGAATCGTGGGGTAACAGCCCAATACCCCAGAAATCAGCCTGCACACTCCCACCCGCCTCCCCCCGCAAGTAAAAAAGATCTCAAAACCATCTCACATATCAACGGCCACCGAGCCGCGTTAGACAATACACAGCTGATTCATATTGTTATTATTATTATTTACAAGGTTAATCCAGCCCGACGCGGGTTTCAATAGATCCGGAGCCGATAATGTCCCCTCGGTGAAACCAAAGTTGGTCGGCTGGAGAGCAACTGGTAGCACCGTGAGCTGCGCACAGATCCGCGCGCACGCTGCAGCCCGGCGCGTCTCACTGGTCCCCAAATCAATACACAGCCTGCACCGAGACGCGAGGAGCTCAACACAACGGCGAAAAAATACTTATTTCCATATGCGCAATCACAGATAAGAAGTTCGCCTCACTCTTCACATTTTCGTTCGCTTTTATTCCACCTCAGATTTAGACAAAAAAATAGATTTTTACTCACCACAGACGGTTTGTATAAAGCATCTACAGGATGAATACTATACACGCGTAACCGTCACATGCAAACGCACGCATGTTCCCCTCGCTCCCCTCTACTCCAGACCAAGTGGGCAGATTTCTCCCTCCATACTCCTAAAGCCGTCCTAAACCCTCCAAAGCTTCATGTAAAACCGCTACTCCCACTACTATGTGGCCGCTCGAGTGCCAAGGCCATCCATGCCCGGTGCCCAAACCCACCACTCAACACACACTGAGGGGCAGAGACAAGAAGAAATGACATTTATTATACACTCCAAAAAAGACAATTCCAAGTTATTGTTTCTCTCTGCAAAAGGGGGCTTGCTTCGAACACAATGGAGCGTCTTTTGTGTTGCACAGAACAATACAAAACAAGTATTCTAATAAATAGCCACTCTCTTTTCTTTTCTTTTTTTTTTTTTTTTGGCTCTCCAGGATAAATGGGCTGGAGCGGCGGGGTTCTGAGAGGCAGCTGCGCTGCTCTCGGAGAGGAGGGGCGAGGACTTGGGGAGGAGCCCCGCACCCCCTCCGCGTCCTCCTGGATACTGACTCCCATTACTGATCCTGGAGCGGAGGAGAATGCAAGGAGAGCGCTGCGGAGCTATTGCCCCCCCCCCCGGGTGGTTTTACTCGCGACACACTCTTTGTTCCCACAACGTGATCCTCAAATAGCGCTTCACAATATCAAGTCCGGCATCCGAAACGACGAGGGGGACATGCACAGCTCGCCCGCATGTGGCTCTGACAAGGGGGACACGCACACGCATACACACGCACGCACGTCTTATTATTATGTTGGAACATTTAAACATTCTCAAACAGAGTTGGAAGATCAGAGGTACAAATCATTTGCTTGGTCATAAGGATTGTTTGGGGAATTTGGTGTATTTATTACGTTTTTCAAAACATACAGAACACAAACACACTCGCACACAATTTAGGTTTTAGACAGTTAATTATATACTATATTTCCTTAAAAATGTATACAGTTTTCATGTGCCAACAATTGTCAGGACTGTTTTTGTTCATATTTCTTGAGTTACGCTCAGTAAGACGATAGTAACCAGCCGTTTTATATCATTTTATCTCATTGCTGCAGAATAAAACAACTTCATGTTTACCAGAGATTATTCTGTCCCTTTGCATCATGAACACACAAAGCATCAGAGAGAGAGACAGAGAGACAGAGAGAGAGAGAGAGAGAGAGAGAGAGAGAGAGAGAGAGAGAGAGAGAGAGAGAGAGAGAGAGAGATCAGGTCAAGTCCGTCCTGGCCTAAAAGCTTTAAGGGAAGAGTAAACCAATCCGCTAAAAGCAGAGGTCTTAGCTCAGTTCACATGGTCCCTCTTGAACGCAAATCTCCATGACTGTAAAAAAACTTCAAAAAATACCCCTTAAGCAATAACTTAAACGTTTGCAGAGATGATTTAATTTTGAAAACTCCAGAATTGAATAAGAAAGCACATAATCGGCAATGAAGTTGTTGTAATTCGCCTATTTTCACAAATTTAACAAAAAGAACTGGAGAAGACGGTGTTGTCCACCAAAGTGGAATATCTTGTAAGACAATATGTGACACAACCTTGTAAGAATCCAGTGTTATTAAGATCTGGTAAATGCTAAAATAGGGTTAATGTATTAATGGCATGAAGCATTGTGTCAGTATTACATTTTGGAGCAGGATTGGAACCCCAAACACACAAGCTGAAAGTGGGATTTTTCGACAGAGAGAACATGCCATTCAAATCTGGGGCACCCTTGTCTACAAATTTGTTCTTTTGTTGCTCTATTTTCATCTTCTTCTCTTGGTTGAATTGTGAGAGAAGATCATACAAGGGCTTGATGGAGGGGTGAGGCACAGACAGACTGACATAAAGAAGTCAGAAAAAGAGGAAGAAAAAAGAGGAAACAGAGAGAGAGAGAGAGAGAGAGACCAGGGAGGCCAATGTCAATCCCATGGCAAACAGCAGTGGATAATCATGGGCTTTAGGAAAACACTGTGTCCATAATGCTATTACCCAGGATTACCTACTCCAGCAGAGAAGGCGAGACTCTCTTCACAATGTGCCCCAGACCTTTCAGATAATCATCTTATCACAGATGACAAACCCAGAAGAAACATCCCATTATTCAAGAAGGGGAAGGAAAAAAATCTACAGCATGTTTGGATGAAGACATATTGTAAGGCTAAATTATTCTCGCGGAAAAAAATATCAGATTTTGAAATTAGCACGCCAGTCGCTTCCCCACTCTCTCTCCCCCCTTTCATTCTCTCACTGTCTCTTTCTGCCGGGGCGCTTTCTCCTTTTCCCGCAGGGCAATTAGAGACAAGATTTTATGCACTGCTCAGCTTATCAATTAGCCATAACACCTTCCCCTCTGATTGGTCTGTAATGAACGTAATGGTTTTAACAGTCAGGAGTTGCAACTCTAAGAGGTGCTGTGCTAATGGTGTCGCCACGGCGATGGAGTCACAGTAACAGCTCTGTGGAAAAGCAGGAAGGAGGTGAGAGGAGAGGCGTTGGGGAGGGGGGGGGACCTAACACATCTCTAATTAGAGCTCACAGTCAGTCATTACTCATGTAATAGGGTGTAACACTAATGGCTATCAGGCAAACCCCCACAAACAACAGAGGGGGATTCTTGTAAGGTGAGAGGAGCAGAACATTTATGGAGGACGAGGAAGAAGGAAGAATCGTGATATTATGTTGAGGGAGAGTAGAGCAGTTGGGGGTGTAGAGCAGACTTTTTGAATACAGCCGAAGAAGGTCAAGGCCCATTAATGGAGAATCTGCCTTTGATGATGACAGAATGTCATGTTGGACATTGTTACAGTATATATATATATATATATATATATATATATATATATATATATATATATATATACACATATATATATAAGAATGAATGAGAATGAAGGGGGTGGTTTAGGTGAGGCACACAACAGACAGAAAGCCAAGTCCAAGTGATTGGACGCAGGATGACCACGAGACAAACGCGTAGTTAACCACCTTTGGCCCTTAGACCTTGTTGGTAACGATGCACAGCAGCCCATTCAATTTGAGTGATGATGCATTTGTTGCACTTTGCTGTTGGTAAAGGGGTATTGAAGGTGCTGGATTAGAGCATAGTGGACCCTACATTGCTCTCAACTCAGCGACTGCCGAGCTGGCAGCTCGCGGCTGACGGCGCTAATAGAGCAGTGCGAACAATGACAACAGTGCCGACAAAGGTCACATGCACGAGCATGCACGGACTATGTAAAGAAAGAACAGAGATGCTCGGGTTGCAAGACATGCAGTTGGAGTGTGACTCACTCAGGTAAACAAACTACTGCTATAAATTGACATAACAAAAAGTTTTTGGGTTAGCTATTATCGGCAATATGATATAGAGAATCTTTAATGTTACTGTTTGGAAAGAGACCGTCGGTGTATAAACCGCATCATTGCAAGACGTGTTGTAAACTGGTGCTTTGCTTTTACACCAATAATCTCCCAAAAAGGTCCATTCTGGAGCTTTTTATGGTATCACTTGACCCTCTCCAGCATGCAGAGTTTACTCAATTGTCATGGAATTGTAGATGTTCACAGTCATCTATTTTTGCACTTTTATTGCACTTTTGGGGAATCTCACCCAAGTTGTCTTTTAATTCAACCCTGATCAAGGTAGAGGATGAGACGTCAGAGTGAAGCACCACTTTGCAACGATCATTTACAACTGTATTCAAAACAACACACAGTTTATTCTCTTAATTAAGCTGAGTAGGAGTTTCTGGCCCAACTTCATGTTCAGAGAAGAAAAGGAAGTCTGGCAAGGAAGAAAACAAAATGCATCGAACAAAGAACAATTCAATATTGAGACCTTTGTGCCTTCATCAAGGTCATTTTACAACAAATTACAAGGAACATTTAAATAAAAAAATCAAATATTTTTAAATATTAAATGAATATCCATAATAATTGTAAAATGTATGTCACACACACACACACACACACACACACACACACACACACACACACACACACACACACACACACACCCACTGTTGTCTTTCATATCTTGGTCTCATGATGAAATAGTTCTTTGTACTAAAAACGGGAGTTTCGACCGACTCCCGGTCAAAAAAACTGAATTAGCAGCGCGACCGTTTGAGTGCGAGTGAGCTGGATGCAAAGCAGTGTTCCTTGTTCACTCAAACTCACAGTGCGAGTCGGCTTGAGAGAAAAAGGGCCTTTGAAAGGTGGTGCCAACATCTCCTAAAAAACCCTGCAGCCCTGAACGCTGCACTCAAGAGCAGGCGGTGACAACATTTGGAATTTTCTGGAGTGGTCTACTTGGGAACCGGCTAACGGATATCTGAACACGGGTAAACTGGATTGTGCAGTCAGCTTCAATAATTGTATTGTTGTTTTTTTAAATATGTGTACACTGGGGAGATTAAAAGTACAGTTTCAATACATATTATAAATACAGTGCAGTTTCAATACATCACCTGACCTTTGTGTTTGGTGAAATATTGGGTGCCTTTACTGCTGCTTCCACTGGGTGGGATGGGTTAAATGCAGAGAACAATGTCCTGTATGTGTAAAATAATACTTGGCAATAAAAATGGCTTCTTTTGCTTAACAAATTACAGACGAACGATTTGCGTGGGATTAAGATCACGGATGACCTCTGCAATTACCCTGAACCAGTAGGTCCCCAGGTAGTACCCGTCCAGTGCTGCAACGGCATAAGTCGGCTCTCGCCCGTTCCTTAATTTGTCCCGCTGATTTTTTCCCTCAGGTTGCCACGCATGAAAGGAAAGGGCGTTCATGGTGAACCATGTAAAGGTTCCGCCCATGCAATTCCCTCAGTTGAGCTATTTACAGAAAATTAACTGACACCGTGCATGTAAATAAAGGTAAATGTCGAACACAGTAATTTACACAAACATTGGGTCGTGCTGAGCAAATCA